ATTCTTGACTCTGGACATTTTAGATCTCAGTACAAGCTGCAAAGAGGAGTGTTGGATTTGTTTTTCCACTGAAAATTTTTATTTAAAGAAAATACTACATTTGCAATTTTTTTCCAGTTGTTGGGCTTGAAAGCATGATGAAACATTTGTTAAAATGTGTTTTATGGTGTGTATATGTGTACACATAGTTGTGAAATATCCATATATCCCAAATGAATGAAAGTGTTTGTGTTTATATACATATGTGGTAGAGACACTAGCATTTTTATCTATAGAACACAGACTGTTAGTTTATCCCAAAGCTCTATGTGTTTTCATGTTGCTTATGTACATCATTTTCTGAAGAAAGTTTTTTTTTTCCTTAAGAGTCAGCAATTTGGCTTACATACGTTAGAAATAATTGTTAATTTTACAACTTAATATGTAGTTCATGGTGAAATTTCTCATACTAGACATATGCAAGCAAATAAAAAAACAAATTCAGTGGTGTTAACAAGTTTCTAAAATTTTGTTTTTATTTATAATAAGACATTTAATTAACAAAAAAGTCATTTACTTAAGGCCCAATTAATATAAACAGAATCTTCATAGTTTATATTTGAGGGGAATTTAGAGATTTCTCTTCTATTTATTTTAAGGTCAGGATAGCCCAATTTTACTTTGAAACTTCTTGCAAGGTCTTTAGTGGTTCTTGAAGTGGTCTAATAAAATCTATCTTTTTCCACTGAAGGAGTATTATTCTTATGTCATAGTGAAAATAACCATATAAATACTTGACCTAATGTCTAAAAGGTGTTTTATTTTAAAATTTTTTTTACTATAATGGGGATATTGTAAATCATGCATTTGTATTAATGACTTTTTAGAAACAAAGCAATGTATGTAACTTCAAACTAAACGAATCTACAAACTATTGTAGGCATCTTCAAATTGTGTTCTAGGTACTGTAAACTCTGTTGCAGTGTTTTAATCAACTGATTATTTTTGTGAATGTATTTGTGTATTGCTTAAAGATTTTAAGATGTTTTGTTTGATTGAATAAGTGTCTTTACTGTAGTGATAGCTTTGAAGGTACATAACTTCATATTTATATAAAACTCTATTGTTTACAAAGGAAGAAGAAGAAGAAGAGGAGGAAGAGGAGGAGGAAGAAGAAGAAAAGAAAAAGCAAATACTGCCATGGAGAGAAAGCTAAAGGTGATTCTGGTGAGAGCTCAAAAAGAAAAGAAGGGAGCTGGGGAGGAAGCCTCCATCTTCTCACTGAATTCCTAAGTAATCATGAACAGATTGTTGGTGGAAATATGGACAGCAAGGGCCATTCTGGCAAAGTTGCAAATGGAAATGAGAAACATGTTTTTGGAAAGTGGAGAAAAGGCAGTCCTTACTATCAAGTGACAAAGAACTGGGCTGAGTTTTGTTCATGTTCTAGTGTGCTGTGGAAGGTAGAAATTGAGAAATGAAATTGGACATTTGGCTAAGGAAATCTCTAAGCAAAATGTCAAAGAACTCCTCCTGACTGCTAATTAGTAAAGTGCCAGAAGAGAAAAATGACTTAAAGGCAGAATTGTTAAGCAAACAGCAAGTAAAACCCAAGACTTGAAACATTCCCAGCCTATCCATATTGGGGGGGGGGAGGGGAGAAGAGAGAACATTAAGGGTGTTGCCAAGGAACCATTTGATAGAGAGATTAGCATAGATATGAAGCATGGATTTAATCAGTCAGCCCCAGTGAAAAACTGACAGTTGAACTGAAGGGAAAGAAGAAATGAAGGAATGAAGGAAGGCTATCAGACTTCTTGGATTTTACAAGACAGGACCATAGAGCTATTTAGCTAAGAATGTGTGCTATTCTTTAAGGCAAAGGAAGAATGGTCCCAAAGGCAATTCAGAGGCCATCAGGGCTGCCTTCTTGGTTTCAAAAGAGGGGACCAAATGGCCTCTGCTTTTCACAGGCCAAATGGCCTCTGTCCAGAACTGCGGGGGCCAGCTAGGGCCTGGGGGGAGGAGCACAATCCCTGCCAGGTAGAGCTATGAGGTCAGGACCAACATCCCAGTGAGACTAGAAGGCAAGACCTCCTCCCCAGTGGTCCTGGAGGGCAGAGCATCAAGCCAAAGAGAATTATTCTTGAACCTTAATATCTCGTAGAGTTTGTATTGTAGTTTGGACTTCCTTGGGACCTCTTACCCCTTTACTCTTTCCTATTTCCTTCTTTTGGAATGGAAATGTCCACCCTATGCCTGTCCTACCATTGTATTTTGGAAACACATAACTTGTTTTGTTCCACAGTTTCACAGCTGGAAAGCAATTTGTCTCAGGTTGATTTGTATGGAGAGTCTTTCTCATATCTGATTTAGATGATATTTACATAAGACTATAGAACTGGTTTTATGATAAAGTGGCAAGCATCAATATTAGGACAGAAAAGACAGGGGGTGCTCTCACCAGAAATTCATTAACATATTATTTTGCACGTTAGACTTTAGAGTTGATGCTGAAATAAGATTCTGGGGGCTGTTGGGATACAATAATGTATTCTGCATGTGAGAAGGACATAAATGGGGGAAGTTAGGATAGAATACTACAGACTGAATGTTTATATCCTCCTAAAATTCATGTTGAAAGCTTAACCCCTAGTGTGAGGGCATTAGGAGGTGGGACTTTTGGAAAGTATTAGGTCATAAGGGGTCCACCCTCATGAATGTGATTAGTGCCCTTAGAAAAATACCCTGGAGAACATTCTTGTCCCTTTTACCATGTGAGGACACAGCAAGAAGATAGCCATCAATGAACCAGGAAGTGGGCCCTCACCAGACACCAAATCTGCTTTTGAGAAATCTCACCAAATCTCCAGAACTGTGAGAATAAATGTCTGTTACCTGTAAGCCAACCTGGTCTCTAGTATTGTTATAGCAGCCCAAACAGGCTGAGACACAGGACTACCTACAAAGGCTACCTGGTAAAGTCTGAAGTTACACCTTTTCCTAATACAACACAGTTATGGTTTTTTTTCCCCTCTCATCTTTATGCAATCCTTTCCACCTGCCTTCTAATCTTTGTAGGGAATGGACATCAGGGTAGATGCCATCTCCTGCATCATACTTACTAGAATCACCTTTTGCACATTTTCTTATGAAGGCAGTGATGACTTTTAGTTCATACGATACTTCCAAGAATTCTAGCATTGACCTTGTCTTAGCCGTAGTTTCATGATAAAGTGGCAAGTGTTAGTACTAGGACAGAAAGGACAGGGTGTTGCTCTCACCAGATATTCATGAACATATTATTTTCTGGGTGGTATTAATAGAAACAAATGGTGGAACACTCACTGCATGTCAGAGAGGTTCTTTGGACAAGCTATAAGCTGTGATCAAGATAAAGCTTGGTAAATAATTTGTGAGTAGGAAAAAATAAGAATCTTCAGAACATGATACCACCAAATACTGGTGAGGATGTGGAACAACAGGAATTCCCATTCAGTGCTGGGGGGCATATAACATAGTACAGCCATTTGGAAGACAGTTTGGTAGTTTCTTACAAAACTAAGTGTACTCTTACCAGATGATCCAGCAATCACTAAAAGGAGTTGAAAACATATGTCCATACAAAAACCTGTTCACAGATACAGGAATTTTTTCTGGGGTTTAACTCCAGGACATGATTGTGCACAGATGTTTATAGCAGCTTTATTCATAATTGCTAAAACTTGGAAACAACGAGAGTCTTTCAGGAGATGAATGGATTAACAAACTATGGAAAATCCAAAGTATGATATTATTCAGTATTAAAAAGAAATGAGCTATGGAGTTCTGAAAAGACATGAAGGAAACAAATGCATATTAGACATGAAAGAAGTCATCAAGAAGGCCACAAACTATATGATTTCAACTCTGCAATATTCTGGAAAAAGATATTCCATAGAGACAGTAAAAATAGCAGTGGTTGCCAGGGGCTGGGGGGAGGGAGGAGTAAGTGAGCACAGAGGATTCTTAAGACAATAAAGACACTCTGTATGAAACTATAATGGTGGGCATATGTCATCATCTATTTGTCTAAATTCATAGAATGTATAATGCCAAGAATGAGCCCTAATGTAAATATGACTCTGGGTGATGATGATGTGTCAGTGTAGGTTGATGATTATAACAAATGTACTACTACTCTGGTGTGTGACATTGATACTGGAGGAGGCTGTGCATGTGAGAACAGGGAGTATATGGGAATTCTTTGTACTTTCTGCTCAGTTTTTCTGTAAGCCTAAAACTGCTCTAAATAATAACATCTATTTTTTAAAAAGGATCACCCTCAATGTCAATTTTTCTGTTATAGGACCTATTTATAGCAACTCTATTTATTTTTACGAAAAAAGAACTCTACAGATTTTTTTTTGTTTTTGAGGAAGTCTTGCTCTGTTGCCCAGGCTAGAGTCCAGTGGTATGATCCTAGGCTCGAGAGAGCCTCCCGTGTAGCTGGTACTACAGGAGTGTGCCACCATGCTTGACTATTTTATTTTTATTTTTGTAGAGATGGGCCTTACTATGTTGCCCAGGCTGGTCTTGAATCCTGGCCTCAAGCCATTCTCCCACTTCAGTGTCCCAAAGTGCTAGGATTACAGATGTGAATCATCATGCCTGTACTTTACTGATTAATATTAGTCTATTAACATAAAAAACCTTGCTGTTAAGTAACTACCTTACATGTACCAGAAAATGTTTGCCACACAAGAGGAGGGAGAAATCTTACATTCAAATGCTTTTTTTCTGATAAGTAGTAGCTAATTCTTGGCAGATGGTATTGATAATGTCTACATTGGTCAGTCTTTGTACTACTGCCAAGCAGCAGCTAACTGAAAACTACTAAACCTTTTAATAAAAAGCCATATTTGTGTGAAATTTTGTAACTGGAATAAAATATTTACTGCAAAGTACTATTTCACCTTCTTCCTTTGAAAACATGGAATTACAGAAAAAGAACAATTATTTAAGAAATAGGGACTAAACTATTTTAAAGAAAAATATACTTTATTGTAATTTATTGAATATTTAATATACCATATAGCCGTTTTTCTGGGATTTAACCCTTGGACATGATTGTGCTGGTGTTTAGCAGAAGGCTCTAGGTCACACCTAGTGCTAATAAAATGCTTTTCTGAATAAAAATATGATACCAAGCAAAACAAATTCAAATTTTAAAAAGTTATGGAAAAGTTTGTTCTATACAGACTAATGACTAACATAATAAACAGAGATATATTAGTTTAACATTATTGTCTGATTTTATACAGCACATAGCTTTAAGTTCACTTAGTAATATAGCAAGTATATTATTACTCAGTATATTCATTTTTACAGAATTAGGAAATACATTTCTAAGAAAGATTTTTACAGACACCACCTTTCATATCCAACCATAAGGATCTAACGCTGAAGAGGATAAAGCCAATGACCTTCCTCACAAGAGTTCATAACTAAAATTGCTTGGCTATCAAAATCTGCATTTCTGCTCTGTTTTGAGCATTCAGACGAGATTCAAATATTCCCCCAAGAAAGCAGCACAGTGCACACTGGGATTGCCTATTCAGCATCCGTGAGCACTGCACTCAAAACAATCTCATCCCAGGAATTAAGTAAGGCCAGCAAAGTACACTGGCATTTCTTCTACTGTAGTATCGCAGAAAGTCTCATGTCACAAAGGATTCTTTTGTCTTCTTTAACATTTATGGTCACAGCTTTTCTCCCAAGTTGGCCTCCACTGCCAGTTCTGAACAGAAGAAAGATTATTAATCAGAAAATTATTTCTCAAGTGCTAGATGAACTTCTGAACAATATGAGCTACTTGCTAACCATCAGTGGATGTTTATTTGATAACATTACACATAAAGTCCTTCTAATTGGAACACTAGTGTGAAAGGATTCAAGCCTCATCTGTCTGCAAAATAAGATTTTATAAGGCATCTTGAACATTATTATTTATACAGCAGATGACAGTATTGGGCTTTATTTAGTATTGGTAAAACTAAAGCCCATACCAAAGTGGGCCAGCCAAGAGTGGGTATCACCTGGGACAGATATAAACACCAGGGACAAGATAAAAGGTACAGTTACACAATCCATTTTGACTCAGTTTTGGAACTGTTAACCATAAATGTAAGCCCTGAAATGTTAACTATTGTTTAGGACTCTGCGGTCCAATATAATAGTCACTAGCCACATGTGGCTATTTAAATTTAAAATTACAATGAAATAAAATAGAAAATTCAGTTTCTCAGTTGCATTAAGCATACTTCAATATCCACATGTTAGCTGTCACTGCTGTATTGGATAGCACAGACACAGAGCATTTCCATCATCGCAGAAAATTCTATGGGACAGCCTTGGTCCAGGACTTGAAACTTCTTCCAGTAGGGGAAAATCTCTAAAAATGCATTTTGGTAACATGTATTTATCACAGCATTCTGCCCAGTTCATCTCACAAACTGTAACACAAATGACTAAAAAACCTTTGCCACCATAGTTCTCTACTAAAACAGGTAACACCAACAACCAAAAAGGTTCTTACTGTAGCAAATTAAAATATCAAATAACCAAGACAAGAGAAAAATAAATGTGGAAACGCTGACTCTTTATCCAAACAACCTGCTGTTTCCCTTATAAATCTATGTTCTAAATCAGGCCCATGCCATTTCACCACTTTGTCATCCACTTGATCAACTATTACATTTTAAAAAGCAAAGTCATTTTTACATTAGTAGCAAGGTACAATTCAATTTATTTAGTGATAAAGCCAATATAATTAAGCTAGGGTCAATATAAACTGCTACCAAGAAATGCTGAGAAAATTCCAATTATAGAGGAATTATCAAGAAAGCACAAGATGTGAGAAGCATGACTTAAAAACATTTAAGCTAAAGACAACCTGATCTAACAGCATTATTGATTTTTCCTTTAAACGTCAACAATATAAAGTCTAAAATCTGAACTACATTTTACATTTGCTTTCACACTGTGTTCTGACCAACCAAAAATCCTCCCAAGTGCAATTTAAATATCATGTTACAAGGTGATAAAATTATTTTTCTGATTCGTTTCCCTGATTTTCAAAGTTGTCTGGTTGACAAAAATCACCTTGAAAAATAGTATGTTAATACATTAAAAAAGTACATTAAAATCCACTTATCACACTTTACACAGAAATATATTCTAGATGTATTGCAAGTGCAAATAGAAATAATGTTTGAACATTCCATTTGTAGAAAATATGTGGCATAGGCAATGATTCCTTAAGCAAGGTGCAAAAGAGACTAAATCTAAAACTAAGAAGAGAAAAAAGATACAGTCTTCTATGTTTACCAACATAGTAAAATTTACTATAGAAATATTAGAAAATGTTCTTCATTCCTTCTTCTAACTATGAGTTTCTCTGTGATGTCATGTTCCCTTCATACTGAAGAGCTTATTTAGCATTTCTTTTAGTGATGGGATAGTGGGCAGGAATTCTTTCTTATTTGTCTGAAAATGTCTTTATTTCACTGTAATAAGCAGAATAATGGCCCCAAAGATGTCCACCTCTTAATTTCTATGAATGTTATTTACATGGCAAAAGGGATTTTGTAAATCTAATTAAGAATTCTAAAATGAGTAAATTATTCTGAATTTTAAAAAAAAGAAAAACAGTATGTTCATGTGCTGGATAATGACATTTCAGTCAACTATGAATGGCATATACAGTGATGGTCCCACAAGACTATAACAGAGCTGAAAAATTATTGGTGACTTCATAGCCATCAGTAAGTCATAGCACAGTTACTTTATTTTTAAAATAAATTTAGTGTCACCTAAGTGTACAGTGTTTATAACATCTACAGTAGTGAACAGTAGCGTCCTGGGCCTTCACATTCACTCACCACGCACTCACGGACTCACCCAGAGCAACTTCAGTCTTGCAAGCTCCATTCATGCTAAGTGCCCTATGCAGGTGTACCATATTTTATCTTTTATACTGTATTTTTACTGTACCTTTTATGTCTTTATATATACAAATACCACTGTGTTGCGACTGCCTACAGTATTTAGTACAGTAAAATGCAGCACGAGTCTGTAGTCTAGGAGCAACAGGTCGTACCAGATAGCCTAGGTGTGCAGTAGGCTATACCATCTAGGTCTGTGTAAGTGCACCCTGTGATCTCTCAGAACATATCTAAGTCATGAAGTGACATATGACTTTACACAAATTTATTTCACCAGAATAAAAACATGGAATTCAAAGGAGTTGACTAATACTCAAATGAGAACATCGTTTTTTTTTTTTTTTTTGAGTTGGGGGTCTCACTCTGTCACCCAGGCTGGAGCGCAGTGGCCACCACAGCCTCGATCTGCTGGGCTCAGGTGATCCTTCCAACTCAGCCTTCCAAGTAGCTGGAACTACTGGTACAGGCATATACCACCATGCCCAGCTACTTTTTCGATTTATTATAGAGATGAGGTCTTGCCAAGTTGCGTAGGCTGGTCTTGAACCCATTGGCTCGGGCAGTCCTCTCACCTCGGCCTCCCAAAGTGCTGGGATTATAGGTGTGAGCCACCACAGCCCTGGCCCAAGAACATAGTTTTCATAAGTAATGGGCAGACCACAGTTTATGATCATCATAGACACTTCTTGAAAATAAAAATCAAGAACATGATATATGACAGTATATATTCAAATTCTAGTTCAAAAGCAGTTGCTGCACTCTTTTAAACCACAAAAGAACAATGGACTACATATAATTGTATAGTTCACTATAAAGTGTGGTCTTTATTCTTCCCCAATTTGACCTGACAAAAACTACTATAAACCTTCCCGTAAAGAAACATTGCAGTTAAATAAGGAATTGAAATACTTACCATTGAGTTGGCAGCAATTAATATATGGTTTGTCCCTTATCTGCATCTCCTCTTGACAATGTTTTTCTTTCTTCGGTTACTATCTGCAAATATTAACAACTCCAATTCTCAAAAGTCATTTGCCAAGTCAATGCTTAAGTTGGTAAACATGTATGAAACCAAACATCCCTGTTGCTAGAGCACCATGGCAGACAGGGCTTGAAAGGTAACAGTTTTATTTCAAGCAGGGGACAAAGACAATGAAGCACTTCACAGCTACACTGTAACCAGATCCTGCCTCAGTTTATTAAGAAAATGCAGATGACCCTTGAACACAGTGAGTCTGAACAGAGCAGGTTCATTTATAAGTGGATTCTCTTCTGCCTCTGCCACCTCCAAGATGGCAAGACCAACCCCTCCTCTTCCTCCTCCTCAGTCAATAAAAATGAAGACCTTTATGATGACCCATTTCCACTTCATGAATAGTAAATATATTTTCTCCTCCTTATGATTTTCTTAATAACATTTTCTTTTCTTTAGTTTACTTTATTGTAAGAATATAGTATTAATACATATAGCAAACAAAATATGTGTTAATCTGTTTGCTATCTGTGAGACTTCTGGCCAATAGAACTATTAGTAGTTAGGTTTTGGGGGAGTCAAAAGTTATACATGGATTTTTGACTGCACGGGGGTCAGTGCTCCTAACCATGCAGTTCAAGACTCAACTATAATCAGATACGAATAGCATCTTAGGTGACAATACTAGAGAAGAGCAGCTCTTATCACACCAGAAACTGAAACCCCTGGTATGCATTTTCTCCAAAGTCAGTATACCCTTTGCTTTGTACTCTACAAAGAACAGCCCGACTGGCCAATTTCTCATATGTCCTAAAGAGCATACAATCTCCTTCCTTACAGTATTTCAGAGAGAACAGTGATAATTCATATCGGTTTGAATAAAAAGCCATTTGACTTCTACCATATCTTTGGAGGAAACCAGTTATTCATTCTATTAATTCTGCCTAAATATAGATATTATTGTACCAAATCTTGAAACAAAGTATCCTGGCCTTCAGAAGAAGTTCAGATCAGTTTTTCTTCTATCTGATACAGTGGTTTGGGTTGTTTTATTTTCTTGGGTTTTTCTCTGTTAGCTTTATTACAAATACTGAGATTTAATGCTGGTTTCTGCAATTTTAGTACAGAGCTTAAACAAGGTAAAATTAAAAAGCCCTGGCTATAGTTTTTTTGTGTACCAATTAGATAAACATTACCCTCTTTCAAAATTATTGTGAAACATTGGTTCTTTCACGGGTCAATGCTTTATCCCTCACCAGAATTTGAAATTGATCTGGGGTGGGCATGGTGTCTTATGCTTGTAATCCAGCACTTTGGGAAGCTGAGACGAGACAACTGCTTGAGCCCAGAAGTTCAAGACTAGCCAAGGCAACATTGTGAGACACTGTTTCTTCAAAAAAAAATAGCCAGGTGAGTTGGTGTATACCTGTAGTCCCAGCTACTCAGGAGGCTGAGAAAGAAGGATTTTCTGGTCCAGGAGGTCAAGGTTGCGGTGAGCTGTGATCATGCCACTGCACTCCAGCCTGGTTGACAGAGTGAGATCCTGATTCAAAAAAAAAAAAGGAAAAAAAAGAAATAGGTCTGTCATGAACTTCTTGATGACTTTCAACATATTCACTAATACTGAGGCAGAAAACAACACAATCTTAAAAAGAGAGACAATGATTAAATCATGTTGACAAATCATAACAATACTTAGAGAAATAATGTTTGAGACCAAGCGTCCCTGTCTTACTATAGAATTGAGCTAGACAGAGATTGTGGGAAACAATTACTTTCAGCAGGGGAAAAGGACAATATAGCACTTCACAGCTATATCGTAGCAATCCAACCTGCCAGCTGGAGAAAAATCATGTGCACAACTGAGTACTTGTGTGCAATTTCTAGTAAATCTTATGGATTGATCCTTAATCCTTTGGATCAACATTTTTATCTGCTTCATCCAAAACAAATGATACAGTTTGGAAAGTTAAAAAATATGTTTTACTTAAGAGAGTGTTCTGGGTATGGTGACTTTCTTCAAGATAATAATAGTATGGAGCAAGGCTAGAAGAGTACTCTCCAGTAGAGAGACCTGACAAATATTACCTCAACCAAGTAATTAAGGTCAACATCAACGGTCATAACTCTCAATATGATGTGATTAGAATGACACTTTACATCTGTGGTCTTCCCCACAAAGCCCCAAATCCCAGTCTAATATTAAGAAAAACAAAACAGAGGGCATCCTACAAAATACTTGACGAGTACTCCTCGAAACTGTCAAGTTATCAAAACCAAGAAAATTCTGAGAAGCTGTCACAGCCAAGAGGAGTTTAAAGAGACATGATATTTACATCTAATGTATTATTTTGGATAAGATCCTGGAACAGAAAATGTGCATTAGGTAAACACTAAATAAATCAGAATAAATTTTGGACTTTAGTTCCTAATAATGCATCAATGTTTGTTCATTAACTGTACCTAACCATAACATAATTGCACCATAAATTTACTATACTAACACAAAATGTTAATAGGGAAATGGGTGCAAGTTACATAGGAACTCTTTGTATCATCTTCTCTCTCTCTTTCTCTCTCTCTTTTTTGGCTATAAACCTAAAACTGGGCTGGGCTTGGTAGCTCAGCTTGTAATCCCAGCACTTTGGGAGGCTGAGGCGAGTGGATTGACTAAGCTCGCACATTCAAGACCAGCCTGGGCAACTTGGCAAGACCTTGTCCATAACATAACTAACATAACGTAACATAACGTAACGTAACGTAACGTAACATAACATAACATAACATAACATAGCCGGGCAGGGTAGTGCATGTCTGTAGTTCCGGCTACTTGGAAGGCTGAGGTAGAATAATGGTCGGAGCCCAGCAGGTGGACGCTAGGGTGGCCTGAGTGTGCCACTGCACCCTAGCCTGGGGGACGGAGTGAGACTCCAATTCCAAAAAAAAAAAAAACACCAAAAACCAAAAAAAACCCTAAAACTGTTCTAAAAATAAAGTCTGTCTTTTAAGTCTTAGTATCACCCCTAGAGATTCATGTAAAGCAACTTCTAAGAATAGGCTCATTATCCAACCCCCCCCCCAGCCCCAAGTATCATTGTCTAAAAAAGGTCCCAGGAAAAATCAAAATAAACATTTTCTACATGATTTTTCTATGTGTATGACATACAAATAGTGAATAAGCTCTGTGTTTACATCTCCAAGGCAAACTCTTCTGATATGTATTCATTGGTTATCATTCATTTTACAAATAAATCTCTTTCCAATAGGAAACTCTGACATACAGCCCTGATCTTAATGAAGCTCACAACTTTGTTAAAGTGAGCTTTACTTCATAGCTAATATAGCAGTGAGCTTTGAAGACAGCATGTATACATAACAAACAGGATACATGACAAATGATAAAGATTCCCAATTAATAAAACATCCATCCCTGCAGTTTTCATGCTACACACTGCATTTAAACTTAGTAACACAACACAAAGAGCATGGATCCCAGTCTACCCAGAAGGCAAGAAAGCTTCAAAGTGTCAATCTGAGATACAACCCTGTAAACCATACCAGTAATCTCAGTTTCTGCTTATTTGAAACAAAAACTCCATGTGTGCATACACAATAATTAAAAAGAAGGTTCTGAATGGATCACTTTATACTAAGCCTTAAGCTTTATTTTTATAAAACCTTAAGCATCTGGGAAGTTCAGCCTGCTGAGGGTAGCCTTTCACCAAGTGACTGAGGGGTGGAGAAATACATACACCAGCTTGCTGGTTCTCTGGTAAGGACAACCCCCAGGATCGACTACACACAGACTTTAGAGCTCTGTGGCATGAGCTGTCTCCAGGGGAATAGCTTAAAAGAGCAGCTTGCTCAGCGGCTACCTGCCTTCTTTCGCTTTCCAAGCCCATTCCCTGCTCCCCTACTACGTTTCCTGGAAATTTGCATGTGAATCCCTGTCTCAAGGTTTACTCCTGAGGTCCTAGGACACATGATATGGTATGTATTCTAAAGGCAACTTAGGCTTTGCAGACGCCGCTGCCTCAAGCCCTTTCCCAGCAGCCACGGTCAACCCCACCGTGTTGTTCAGACATCGCTGTCAACGGCGAGCCCTTGGGTCACGTCTCCTTCAAGCTGTTTGCAGACAAAGTTCCAAAAACAGCAGAAAACTTTCATGCTCTGAGCACTGAAAAGAAAGGATTCAGTTATAAGGGTTCCTGCTTTCACAGAACTATTGCAAGGTTTATATGCCAGGGTGGTGACTTTACACGCCATAATGGCACTGGCGGCAATTCCATCTATGGGGAAAAATTTGATGACAAGAACTTAATCTTGAAGCATACAGGTCCTGGCATCTTGTCCATGGCAAATGCTGGACCCAATACAAATAGTTTCCAATTTTTCATCTGCACTACTAAGACTGAATGGTTGGATGGTAAACATGTGGTTTTTGGCAAGGTGAAAAAGGGCATGAATGTTGTGCAGGCCATGGAGGGCTTTGGGTCCAAGAATGGCAAGACCAGCAAGAAGATCACCACTGTTGACTGTGGACAACTCTAATAAAATTTGACTTGGTTTATCTTAAACTACCAGATCATTCCTTCTGTAGCTTAGGAGAGCACCCCCCCATCCCATTTGCTTGCATTATTCCTATAATCTTTGTGCTTTCACTACAATTCTTTGGGTTCCGTATTTTCCTTATTCCCTTCCACGTCTAGTTGGATTGCAGAGAAATAAAAACTAAATAACCCAAAATAAATAAATAAATAAAATTAAAGGCAATGTAGTTTACTGATTTTTTTTACAGGTGGGTTTTTTTTTTTAATTTAAAAGATAAAGCCACTTTGCCATTGCTGAATATTAATGGAGAAAAATGGCCCGGCAAAATTTTAACATTCAAATTTCAATATTAAAGATATTAATCTTTTTCCTGTGATGCATGTAACATATATTTTCTCCAAGTCTGGTTTGTCAGTTGTCTTCTGACTTTGTTTATGTTACATTTGCCATGCAATTTGTTTTATGTAGCCAAAGTTACTCAGTTTTGCTTTTGTCACTTATGGATGCTGAGCCACAGTTAGAAAGCCTTTTTCTTTTAGTACTTACATGGTTTCATTTTTCACATTTAAATCCCTGATCCACTTAGACTTTATTTTCTTATATGCTATGAGGTATAGCTCTAATTTGATATTTTTCCAAATGGCCTACTGGTTGGCCTAGCTCCATTTACTACAAAGGCCAACTTTGTCCCAATAATGTGCAATACCACTTTTAACTTTCATTGTGCATTTGGGACTATTTCTAGATTCTATTCTATTTGTCTTTTTGTCTGTTTCACACACTCGTTCCAGACTTTAATTATAGATACTTTGTAGCTTCTATAGCCATAAAACTTCTATGACCATATTTATAACAATATGGTTTTAATTTAAAAAGCTAAAGACAAAAAAACTTGTAAACCTTCAACCAGAGAAAGCTGGCTGGACAAAAAAAAAAAAAATCCCATAAACCAATATTGAACTCTGGTTAGTTGGCTTCTTTTTCACATGGCATGGGCTAGCAGTTTTGAAACAACTTTTATGTATATTATAGAATTGAGCAAATAAGTGAATATACTATAGATAACAAGACCCAGCATTCTCACTCTCAGAAAAGGCAATTACAATGACCGAAAGGGCCTAATTGACCCCTGAGATGCTGCATTGGAACTGAGATAATGGTATGAATTCAAGTTGTTTAAAAAAAATTCATGCAGACAAATAGAAATAAAGCAGATAGAGGAATGCCTGGATGTATGAGTGTGTGTACGTATGTGTGTATATATATATATGTGTATGTGTGCAATACATGTGTATGTGTGCATCTATATGCTTTCGTGTGTGTGTGTGTGTGTGTGTATATGTATATATATATATATATATATATATATATACATATACACACATATATATGTAAAATTTCCTAGCACTGTCTGGTGAGAGAACCTATAAGCAACAGCATCCTAGTAGCAATTCACATACCCTACAATCCAGAGACTGGCTTTTAAATACCATACTCCATTTTATTTGGAAGAATGTCTGCTTCCAAGGCAGGAGCAGAAAAGTACAAGATGAGCTTGGAACATCTTGTGCTAGAAAATAGAGAATGAAGAAGATACGTGAAAAGGATACAGGAACCAGCTTTAAAAGACTCCCACTGGCAAAAACCGGGACAATTCAACGACAAATAATTACTGATGGAATAAAGCCATAATCTATGAATCCGTAGACAAGTAAGTAAACGCAAGAATAAATGGAGAAGGAAAATCTCCTCTCGTAGTAGAAAAACAGGACACAGAAAAGCATTGTGTAGCTCGTGTCATCCGGGATAGGAGGACGCTCTCTGGAAAGGGGGATGGAAGCAGAACCCCCAGACGAGCAGATTCTGCCCCGTCCTTCTCCCCCTCGACCCTCGTCCTCTCGGCACCTGTCACCG